CATAAAACATCATAAGGATATAAAAATCTACTTTAAACTGACAATAACTTTAATCACAAACTCTCCTTTACATCTCTGCCCCCTCAAATTACTTTGATTTATATTGTTTCTCTATTAACATAGATTTATATTTTTGCACTTTGTCTTCTGAATTTTTTTTAAAGATTTTATTTATTTATTTGAGAGCGAGAGAGTGAGCGCACAAGCAGGGGTAGTAGCAGGTAGAGGGAGAAGCAGGCTCCCCAGTGAGCAGGGAGCCTGATGCAGGACTCAATCCCAGTACCCTGGGATCATGACCTGAGCTGAAGGCAGACATTTAACCGACTAGCTACCCAGGCACCCCTGTCTTTTGAATTTTATACACTAGTTAAAAGTGACTTACACATCAACATTATAATTCTACAGGATCCTATATCTGTCTATATATTTACCTTTACTAGAAACCTTTATGTTTTCATATGACTTCGTGTTGCTGTCTAGTGTCCTTTCAGTTGAAGTTGAAGGACTCCCTTTAACATTTATTATAGGGTAAATCTAGTGGTGATGAACTCCTGTAGCTTTTGCTTATCTGAGGAAGCTTTTTTTTTTTTTTTAATCTGGGGAAATCATAATTACTCCTTCATTTTTGAAAGATAATTTTGTAGGATATGGCATTCTTGGTTCACAGTTTTTTTTTCTTTCAGGACGTTGAATATATCATCCACCCTCTTCTGGCATGCAAGGTTTCTGCTGAGGCACCTGGTGATGATCTTACAGAAGCCTCTTTATACATGATCAGCCACTTTCCTCTTGCTGCTTTTAAGATTCTCTCTTTGTCCGTAACTTTTGACAGTTTGATTATAATGCATCTTGATGTGAACTTCTTCGGGTTTTTCACAGCTAGAGTTGGTTGAGCTTCTTAAATTTATATGTCTATTACTCTTCTCAAACTTGAAAAGTTTTGGGACATTATTTCTTCAAATAAGCTATCTGCCCATTTCTCTCTCTTCTCTTTCTGGGACTACAATTATGCATCTATTAAGCCACTTGATTATATCCCATAAGTCCTTAGGCTTTCTTCAGTTTTCTTTATTCTATTTTCTTTTTCTTCTCTCTCTTCTCTTTCTTCTCTCTCTTCTCTTTCTGGAACTACAATTATGCATCTATTAAGCCACTTGATTATATCCCATAAGTCCTTAGGCTTTCTTCAGTTTTCTTTATTCTATTTTCTTTTTGCCCTTCTAGCTTGAAAATTTCAAATGTGCATAAATTGGTTTTATAAATAAAATTTGTTGGAATACAGTTATACCTATTTCCTTATGTATTGTAAACCTTTTTGTATCTTTTGCACTATGCTGGTAAAGTTGAGTAGTTGCAACTATAAGTTGGCCCACAACAGTAAGTATGGTTAGCAAACCCTGAAATATTTACTATCTGATTCTTTATAGAAAAAGCTTGTCAGTTCCTACCTAGAGCAGCATATCATGTCTATGAAACAACAGAATATTTTTTATAGAGAGTAATACCCAAAGGATTCTGCCTCTTTAGTCCTCAAAGCAAAGCCCTATAGGAAGAAATGCTTAAAGCATAGTAGAAAAGAAGAAAGAGAATCCTGAAGGCCTCTGCTGAACTCTGATCATCCAACAGGGCCCAGACAGTTGCTGACTCAAAGGTTATAGCTGTCCTGGTCAATAAGCCTGCTTTACTCTGCATCCACCACCTTTGGAAATTATCAGGCAATTATAGAGGAGTCAAGCCATGCCATTTAAATCGGATATAGAACCACAGTCAAGAAAATCCTTGATTACTTCTCACTTTCATGACAAAAGCCCTTCAAAGAAATCAATCTATTTAAAACATTACCATATAAAAAATTCTCTTAAGATTTAAAGGGATTACACTGACTTTAAAATGTTGTATGGGTCATATTGTCTACTTTTCTATATTGGATACTTCCTTTTTCTTATACTCATTTTCCATCCCATTGTCTCTTTTTCTCAATGTGCTATGTCCCCCTTTATTATCCCCACCACTGCCTTTCTCCAACCAAAGTCAATTCCTACATTTCAGTTTTCCCACATGTTGCATTATTTTATTTTTCCCACTCACCTTTCCCTCTCCAGACACAATTATAAAAATTATTGAAATAGAAAATGGAATACACAGGTTCTATTCTGGGCTTTGCCAATATCTTGCTTGGTATCTTAGGGACATCTTTTTATTTCATGGGTGTTAGATTAACCTATGACTGAGTAGATTGATCCAGGATCTCTAAGACACATCAAAAGTATGTGGGTAAGATAAAATGTAAACTACTTATTTCTCAGCAAGGAAAGTAACAAGGAACAGGTGTTTTAGATGCTATGAGTGCAACATTTCACAGCAATACACCAGATGTATATGGGCAGAATATCTGCAGAGCTGCCAAGAAGATGCACAAAGGCATCTCCATCAAGGACTACAAACCATGAGCTAATCTCTTTAAACCATGTTGCCAGACATGCATCTAGGGCCAAGAAAACTGGGTCTGATTTAACATAAACCATCATCCCTGTTTTCTAGGAAAATATATTCTGTAGACCAGAAAGTAAATAACTTTATATGATATAATTATTTTATGTATATAAAATATACACCATATTAATAATATAGAAAATATGACAATTATATAATGTAATACACAATATTATATGCATTTTACTTCAATTACTTTTAATTAGTTTGCTGTTTAATTTTAAGCATGCAGAAGAAGGTATGAATTGAACACATCAGTCTCCCTTTCCTGACACTCTATCCATTCTAATTAAAATGCACTTGTCCTGAACTCCCAATTCAGAGACTCAACTAAGTTTTCTTCTGAACAGGTGTGTCCACTGCTAATACCAAAACTTGAAAGCTGACCCAAGAGTGGTCCATCCATTGTTCATCCAGCAACTCATGATGTAGCCTGATTAAGGGTAATTAGTTACCTAGTCAATTCCTTGGCTTCCTCTGGAATTTTGAGTGAAAAATATAGCCATTCACAAAGAAAAGGGAAACAGAAAAGATGAGCAGTGAGGAGTAGAATTGTTATCAGAGTGATGCTATGGGCCATGAAGAGAGGCAAAAAAAATTAGTTCACTCCTTTCCTTACAACCCATCAATGGTTTCCCATCTAAATTAAACTCACACATTGTTCTCCTGCCAAAAGGCTCCAAACTACTGACATTTGCCTATCTCTCACATCTCATCTCTGCCTGCTCTCATGGTGGCTCCTATGTCCTGATCATACTGAATTTTTTACTTTGTTTTTGGTGTTGTTTTTGTTTCTGTCTCAGACTGTTGTGCTCCTATTCCTTCTATTTGGGTTGAACTCTTGTGCATGGTTGGATCCTTCTCATTATTCAGTACTTGTCCCCTTACCATCCAGTCTACAATAAGATCCTTCTAGTCATTCTCTACTCCACTGGCCTGTTTCATTCCTTCCTTGTACTCCCCTTCTCTGTTATTAGGTTATTTCCTACTTCATTATCTACCTCCTCCCACAAGAATATAATTCCATAATAGAAGAGGAGGCTTTGACTGTTGTATTTATTGTTGCATCTTCATTGACTAGAACAGTGAATGGCATAAGTATTTATTAATGATTAATAGAATTAATAGAGTAATATAACAATATGTTAGTGAGACCCTAAAACTGACATATATGTGTTGGGTTTCTGACTTCAGTTTCAGGCCACCTGTGTTCTTATAATCAACCCCATTTTCTTTAAAGTGACTTGTACTTCTGGTCCTTGGCAAAAGAGAACATTATGCACATGGGCTTGTCTGTGACTTTGAGTAGCAGGCCATCTGTCATCTCACCCTCCTGCTGGAGCCCTCTCCCACACAAGGCAAGTTCCATAGCTTGTGTTCACTCAGATTCCTGTTTTGTTTTCAGTTCATTCCATTATCTAGCAGCCCTCCCTATCCACTTCCACACTAGACCCAGCTTCCTGAAGTCCAGTGAGGGCACAACTCGAGAGGAATTCAGATAAATCTTGCTTTATCCCATTAAAAACACATATCAGATTCAGTTGCATCAAAAGTAACAGAATGCTTGTGTAATACTGACATTCTGTAGTGAAACAACACTGTGTTCACCAAGTTCCAAGGATCTGTTCTCTTTGTTCGCTACTGGAAGAATAGAAGACTCTCGCATCTCCATGGTTAACTAGAGAAGATGAGGGCAATACAGGGCTGGAGAAGGGAGCTGGCAATGGAAATGGAAAGGAAAAGACAGAAGTGAGGATGCTTGGAATGGAAATGTGACAAGGACCCGTTGTCATCAGAATCCGAGGGACGAGGGCACAGATTTTTATACATTAGTATAAAAATGACTGCTCTTCTTTTTAGGAGCTATTTGAGATTATCTGAAAATTTCGAAGAGAGGAGAGAGGGGAAAAAGAGAAGCCTGGGGGTACAAGTCCTGCCCAAGGCAGAGAGAAGGTTTTAGGGTCCATCAAGTGGCACTCATGATGGGTGCTGGGAGTAGCAGGACAGAGCAAAAGGAGGCAAAAATAATTCCCCTTACTCAGACTCTCTCCTTAGAGCCAGATTTGTCTCACCTTGTCTATTTCCTCATCTTTTTTTGTGTGTGTGTGCCATTTCTGCCTCTCTACCCTCCGTTCTTCAATTATTTGTTTTAACCCCCCTCCCCACCCCTTTTCCCCCTTTCTCTGGATGTGAAAACAAGCAGAAAAAGGCTTACACTTAAGCCACAGGAAGAGGAGGTGAGACGAAGAGTGTGAGTCATCAGCCACTCAGCACCGTGATGCCTCCATCCTAGAAACTGACTTCATTCTCCCTGGATTTCGACTCAAGTCTGTTGGGTTCATAGACAATCTATCCGTGTACAACCAACTCCTCAGTAACTACTGCAGAGGAGAGGCTTTGAGACTCATCCAAGGACAGGGGAACATTGTCTTCTTGGTTTAATTTCTCACCTCAGCTGTTTATTTGTTTTGAATAAGGCCTGTAGGATTGGAAAGGCAATCACTTACTCTCTCCCAAAGCAGCTCTTTCAGCTATGGCCCTAAGTCAGAGGCCTTGTCTTGAGTTTTGATGATTACTAACATCCCTCTAATCTTCTGTGTTGGTCTGAATCCTCTCTGTGGAGAAAAAGGGGTTAAAAAATTATAAGCAGTGACAAAGCAACTGCTTAGAACAGGTGTGAGCAAATCACAACCCACAGCCCCAATCTGCCCTGTTGTCTCTTTATAAAACTTAATTGGAACACAGTGATGCTTATTCACTTAGCGCACTGTGTATGGCTGATTTCACACCATGACAGCAGAATCCAGTCGTTGCAAAAGAGATTGTGTGGCCTTTAAAATCAAAACTATTTACTATCTAGCCCTTTCTAGAAAAAGCTTCCCAGCTCATGACTAGTATTACCTCTCCCGGTGTAGGCCTCCTTAAATGCGTACAGTTCTTTCCAATCAATCATGCTTAACTGGTTTACTGCTGCAAGAATATGAATAGCATGGGAATGAGCTGAAGCATGGATTAAAAATAAATATTTGAAGTATCCTTAAACTTGCATGTGCCACAGTCAGCACGATGATCCTCTAACTCCCTTTGACCATTTTGAACAGAGAACAGGGCTTCCAAAAATGTACAGACCTTTAGTGGAGTATGTTCCAGACATTACACAAGCTCTTTGAAGGTTTTCAACTATTATTTAGCCGGCTCAGAGCAACACACTGTGATCATGAGAGAGGATTATGATTTATGAAATAGTGAAGCAAAGCAAAAGGTAGAAGTCACATCTGCACCAGGAGAGGTATTTATAACACAACCATCATCGGCCCCCAAATTTCAAGACCTTTTAAACCACTTTAGCTTAGTGTGCATTTCAAGTGCATTTTCAACTGAAGACCAATGATCACAAGAACCTTAAAAAGCATTTAAGTTTGGGGCGCCTGGGTGGCTCAGTTGGTTAAGCGTCTGCCTTTGGCTCAGGTCATGATTGCAGGGTCCTGGGTTTGAGCCCCATGTTGGGGTCCCCTCTCGGGGGGAGGTTCTGCTTCTCCCTCTCCTCCTACTCATGCTCTCTCTTGCTATCTCTCTCTCTCACTCTCTCAAATAAATAAATAAAATCTTTAAAAAAAAGTATGTTAGAAAAAAATTCAAACTTTTAAAAAATTTTTAGCTGAAGTATAGTCAACATATACTGATTTCCAGTGTAGGGCATAAAGATTAAACAATTCTATACATTATAAAATGCTCATCACGATAAACATAGTTGCCATCTATTACCATACAAAGTTAGCATAATATTATTTACTATTTCCTATGCTATGCTTTTTCATACCTGGGACTTATTTATTTTACAACTTATTTATTAATAAACACTTAAAATTATTATTAACACAGCACTTTAATATCTGTGATCATACTTGGGAGTGCCCGACTTTCTCATTCATTTACTATTTTCTATAAGCACTTCCCTTGACTACAATCTCTGAAACCTTCCCACAAAGGAGAAAAGAGTTATATTCTTAAAAATAGCAATTTTCTTTTACAGAAAATATCAATGTTGTGAGCTCTATATTTTACAAAACAGAAACATGGTTGGAATAATTTGAGGACGAAATAAATAAAATTTGGAAAATATTTCCAAATTCCACTGGACAGAATTCTCTGAGGTTTTTAGGCCTGTTCATCTGAAATTTTAATACAAGACTTTACTCAAGATAGACACTGCTGTGTCTGGCTTAATTCCTTAAGTCTTATTTTTTTTCTGTTTCTAAAAGCTATTGCAGACCAATAGCCCATTGTTTGTAATCTCTGCACTCGTTATATGCTGTAAAAAACATATTGTCAGGCTGAAACACCCAGAATTGCTTAGAATTCTAAGAAACTGATTTAAAAATAATTTACAATTATGATTCTAAATTTAGAGAACATTCAACCTTTAGCTCGATGTGTCTCACAGATCTAAATTTAGCAAACTATAAAACAGCAGTTCTCACTGGTTCCAAAGATGATCTAGTCCAGAGCTGGCTATCTTTCCAAGGTGATATGCCAAATCTTAATGAGTTCACTCTTTGCTTTAGGAGAGCCTTGTGATTATGGTTTGAGGCGGATTTTCTGTGTCTAAGAACCTTCTTTCGACTAGTGCAAAGCAGCAATGGTCTGCCCCTTAATTGTGGATGTGGCAGAAGCAGTTTGGTGTTGATTTGCAAAGTCCTTCTACATATTTTATTTCATTCATTCTTGAGAAGAGGGTATTGTTACTACCTATTTTCCACAGATGTGGAATGGGAGTTCAAGAGGGTTGGATATGGAGTTAGGGTTCAAAACCATGTCTTTTAACTCCAAGATCCAATGTTGCAAAAAGGAGAGAAGGTGGTGGAGTTTGGACAGGTATCAGGAGTCAGAGCAGGCCACACTGGCAAGCTGTACTTGTCTCCAGTAGAGTCTGGGTATTCAAACAGTTGGACCTGCTGCAAAGTCAGGTTGCAAAGTAGATTCACAGCAAGGAAGAAAGACAAACATCATAACAATGTAAATATCAGGAAATGTAGTGAACCAAAAGACTCAGTAAATAGTGGGGAATCAGGAAATCCTTGGAAGTTGAGGAGCAAAAGCAAAGTTGATGACCAAAAGTCTTGGAAAAGAGTCAGCACTCACAAAGTTACAAGACTCCCAACACGCACGTGCTTGCAGGAGGAGGCCATGTGATAGCCCATCACCTCTGCAAGCTAGGAAGAGGCACCAAGGATCTGCCCCCCTAGGTTTCAGAGAGAGTTTGATTCCGCGACCTCTAGACTCTACACTTCTAGGCTCCAGAACTGTGAGACAATAAATTTCTGTTTATGTTAAGCAAACAAACAAATGAACAACAACAAATGAAACAAAAACAGAATTGGGAGAACAAGGGAAAGGAGCAGAAAAGCGGATTCTTCTACTT